CGATAGTCCGGCATATCTGATAATCCGGCACCCCCTGGGTCCTAAAGGTGCTGGATTATCGGAAGTTTACTGTACATGCTTTGTTACTCTTTTAAGGTGCTGCTAGACTATTTGTTGTTTAAGTTTTTCCTGTGTAACCACTGAATTTTTTCTGCAGTTACACATTTACTTAAACACATTTTATCATACTTAGTTTAGGCAGCCAGTCCGGCATATCTGATAATCCGGCACCCCCTGGGTCCTAAAGGTGCTGGATTATCGGAAGTTTACTGTACATGCTTTGTTACTCTTTTAAGGTGCTGCTAGACTATTTGTTGTTTAAGTTTTTCCTGTGTAACCACTGAATTTTTTCTGCAGTTACACATTTACTTAAACACATTTTATCATACTTAGTTTAGGCAGCCCCAAAATGAGTAGCATTGGCTTACAACAGGACATAGCTAGGGCAGCTGGCAGAATTTATCTATTCAGCATCTCTAAACTAGTTTCTAGTAAGGGCTTTTAGGAGCCTAAAGTTACCCTACCAAAACAGAACCCTCTAGGGTGGGAGGCGGTGGAAACCCTACCTGTCTCACCACAGCAATGAATGCCCTTTCATGAAGGGTTTTCACAAAGTTTTATTGAGCTTTATGTAAAGTATAAGAAACGATGGATTCGATTTGAATCATGAAGCTGTGATTTTATGTATGTGTAACTATTTGCAGAGTAATGGTTTAGTTTCACAATCTGCTGAGACTGATGGTAGTTACTTGGAAGCATTCAAGTTTCCAGAACCTTTTGAAGACCGCTTATTGCTGCTTACTAGGTCTTCAGATATCCCTTAATTTATCTACAAATATAAATTTTTCGCTCTCTCTAAACAAACGTGCAATGCACCAAGATTTTAACGAGAAAATATAATTAGCTCTGCTTTGCAAGCTGTCATTCTTTTTGACTGAGCAACCCCAGCTAGTTAAAGAAACTGTCAATATATGAATCCAGGTATGTTTATATGTCAATATATAAATCTAGGTATACCTCAGGAACAAACTGATTTGCATCTTTATAACTTTGAGGAAGTTGCCTGCATATTAGCATGTTCACTCAGTTATAACACAATATTAATTTCCTTGACAATGTGATTTTAAATTTCAGCTTCTGTATACATTTCCAAGAGTCTGTTTCAATTGTTTTACTCTTAGCAGGGTAAGACTTGAAGGTCTTATTTGCAAACAAATGATGATCCTTTTATCCTAGAAAAGTAGCGGGAAAAGTGCTTAGTAAAATCTTAAAAATATATAACACCTTGCTTCCCGAAGAGAAGCTGTAAAGCCTTATTAACCCTCTCTTACATACGGAGAAAAAAATCACTTCACACATCATTACATCACTAAAATACCACTGTCAACTACAGGGTAGAACATAGCTATTGTTACAGCACACGAAGCAAGATTGTTTCATAATTTACAGCAAGACTCAAGAAAGATTACTGTAGCCATTTAGATATGCAGGGACAATTTTGATAGCTGTTTGCTACTTTGGCCAGGCCATCAGAGCTAGTACATTTTCTCCTCTGAAAATGCCATTGCAAATCTTCTTTAAACAAAAGAATACATAAAATAAATATCTCTTGAGGGTGATGTTTTCTATTCAAATTTTCATAGAATGGTTTAATGTTATGTTTTATACCACAAACATTAGAAAAACAGAGTATGTATTGTCCATGAAAAAAACATGCCATATGCTGAGCTCATGAGAGGAAAAGCCACATCCTCTCTAAGTGCAGAGTTCCTTTTTGAAATGTTCTTAAATCCTTTAATTCTTGTAATGGTGTCTAAGTACCACAGTGATCAATGCCTTAAAAATATCTGTGATGGAATATGTAATGTTTCAGATTCTAATTGTATTGGGAAAGGGCAGCAAACATGGCAGAACAGAAGTTCTTCAGAAGCCTTTGTGATATGGGGGGGGGGGAATATCCACCTCCAAAATAATTTTTGTAATTGTAGAGGAATCATGAAGATCTTCCTCACTTTTATTGACTACTAGAAGAGATTGCTGTCACCATTGTGAAGTTATTCTTTATCCTTGGAAATGAGCATCATAGTTTTAACAGCATGTGCATGCACATACCACACATTGGGAGTGTATTTTGACTAGTTCTGAACAATTATTCAAGGGTCAGGTTTAATGTGGAATGTAACTGTAGATGAGTTCATTTTTCAGGTGCTGTTTGTGTTTATTTTGTGTCTTGGTGGTATTTACTGTTGCATAGATAACAGTTCTGCCGAAGCATGGCTTAGGCAGTGTTTGCTATAGTACAGTAGGCTGTTGTCTCAGACAGCAAAACACTAGGCACCACAATGTTTAGTGACTGCTTATTGCAACAAGTAGCTGAAGATTGAGAGGGATGGAAGTTTTCCATGTTGCCCTTCCACCAAACATTCAAGGGCTGTCATAGCTGTTTTGGTATGCAGTTCAGCATTTCAGTGATGAGCCAAGTGGCAAATCTGTTTCTTTCTCAGCAATGCATAGACCTATTTTTGAGTGCTTACTATTAAAGCGAATTTAAAAATTCCAAAGGAAACATTGGAATCAGGCATCCTCATTGGAAGGTCCCTTAGCATCACCTTTATGAAACTGCTGAGTTGAACATACTCCAATTTTATTTTTACAGATTAGACTGCCAGTCATAACCAATGAGGGGTGCACAACAAAGAGTTCAAAGTTCTGAGTAACTCATCCAAAATGTGGAATGCTTATTCTAAATTTTTGCCTCACCCCAACAAACACTAGAAATCTAATTTTCCAGTAACTGCAAAACTCCAAGGCCTTAATTTTGAGGGAAGTGGGATTTCCCTCCAACTACAAAACTATGCAATTTTTCTCAGAACATGAGGCTCGACTTTGGACTTACTTTTGTTCCTCTTTCACAAGAGTAAAAACAGTCTTTTTGTGTTAAGCAGAGTAATGTATGTTGAACTGAATTATATTGCTACTGAACTCCCTGGCAAAAGTCCTTTTGACTACAAAGGGAACAGGATTTGGACCTGTTGAACTTTGAACCCTTTTTTTAAATAAATAATGTTGCAGTCTCTCTCTGACCCCTGTGAGAAGGGGAGCACCTATTTTGAGATGTACATAAGCTGCAAAGCTTTTAACTAGATTTCTGACAGTTTTTAGACAGGCTCACTGGCATGGTGACTTACATAGCCCCAAAGTTTGAGGGTGTTCGGATCCAAGGGTTTTGGTTTGAACCACTGCAACATTCCAGATCCAGATGCTAGTTTGCAAATACCCAGCTATGTGAGAAGTTTTCGGACCTGGTGGGATGGCTGCAGGTGTCCTCTCTTTTGGACCATTTACCAAGTCTGGATTTGCGCCTGGTTTTCCCCCTTGGTCTAGAACAGTGGTCCCCAACCTTTCAGGGCTGCTGGGTGCCCGGGAGAGGGGTCGCTCACATGCCCACAGCCGGCACTGAACGTGTTGTGTGCCCGGGTCAAGGGACACCCATGTGCCCTGCACCCAGAGCTGGCACCAGGGATGTGCTGTGTGCTGGGGAGGGCAGCCCAGATGATTCAGCGGGTGCACATAAATGCCCCAGTGGGCGCTATGGCACCCATGGGCACCGCGTTGGGGACCACTTGCCTAGAAGACTCTAGATGATTGAGCAGGCAGAAATTTAGGGTGGCCGCCGTGTCGGGCCCAGTCTTCACGGTGGTTG